TGAAATTAACTCGAAAGAGATGAAAAACTACTCAAAATCTTCATGAAAACCGCTTCTGTATAAAAAACCAACATCTCAATCTATAGAAGCACATCTATGGTGCTTCTCTCCATAAGAAGTTGGAAGCCCCTGCCTCTCCCTTTAAAGGAGGTCACTTTTCCCATATGATGACCCAAATAAGGTACACATAATCTTTCATCTTTAATCCCATATATGTAAAGTTAGAAGTCCACACTAAAGAAGAAACTTCCTATAGGTTATATATATATATATATATATATATATATATTTATATATTTCAATAACCAAGAGATATATCTCATAATTCTATTTTTTTGGATTTTTATTTTATTTAGGGAACTCATCAATATCAATCCCAATCCCACATTATATGGGATTTCATTATGTGGGTGATTTTGGATATCACCAAATCCGATAATCTCCACCTTAATATCAAAAGCACCTGCTGTCCAATAAATTTCTTCATCATTATTTCGGAAAAATTGTGTTTGCCATTATATTTCTCTACCTCAAAGAAAAACACTCACATACTTTGCCATGTGCTTTTCTTCAATCGAATGCACAAACACTAGCCTTGTACTAAACTATACGCTCTGATACCACTTCTTTTGCGTCGAAGCTCTAAACCTAATGGGATGATTTTTTAGCAAATAAAGTATGAGAAATAAAATATGGAACACATATTATAAGAACACAACGATTTATGTGGTTCACCCCAGAAAGGTTACATCCACGGATACGGTAAATTGAACACCACTATACTAATGAAAGTTACATCAAAGATTTTGGAATATGGAGTTACCCAACCTTCAACAAAAACCCAGTCGAGGGGCCAATAAAAGTTAAATCAGAGATTTTCGAACATATAGCTACCCAACTCTCAACAAAAACTAAGTCAAGCAAAACCCTTTTAGACTTGCTCTCCCTAATGATACTATTGCCGATCTCTCATCTCTATCTCATAACTAAACCACTATCTAAAAAAAGATCATAATTGAACCGTTGTCCAGGAAGATATCCTTGAAAGCAACCGATATTTTCTCTCACTAAAAGAAAACATACTAAAAATCTTTATGAGAAACGCTTCTCTACAAAAATCCAATCTCTCAATCTATTGGAGGCACATCCATGATGTTTCTCTCCATATGAATCTATCTTCTCTCTAAGGGGAGGCATTGCCTCTGATGCATAGGAGACCCTGCGTCTCTTTCTAGATGAAGTCACCTTTCTCATATGGTGATGTAAATAGTAAATAGGGCACACTTAATCTTCCATCCCATATATATAAAGTTAAGAGTTCACACGAAATAAGGAATTTCATGTAGGTGCCACATATATCTCAAGAACCAAAAGATATATCTCATAGTTCTAATCTATTTGGATTTCTATTTTCTTTATTAAACTTATTAATATCAATCCCAATCCCACATAATATGAATTTATGATGTTTTTTTAAGTGGGGTTTTTTTTAATATCACACAATTCAACTCTCTCTCTCTACCAATCCTCTGCCCCTCCTAGACCTTAAATCTAATGGGCCGTTTGGATCTAAAGAAAACGATTACGTGAAAAAATATATTTCTTTTGAAATGCATTTCTTGAGAAAAGTTTTTCATATAAAGTAGATTCTTGTTGTTTGGATGGTACATGGGTGCATAATATTTTCATGTTTTTTTTTTATTATGTTTTTTTTAAAATACATTTGATTGTATTTTTTAATTATAATATCATTTTTCATTAAATTTGATATAGTTTCTCTCTTAAAAAATTTTCAGAGATTTTCTCTCTAAAAATTTTCAAGTATATTCTCTAACGAAAATTTGATAAAGTTTCTCTCTAAAATTTTAACATATTTTAGTCTAAAACTTAAAATTTGAGATAGTTTTACTCTCTAAAAATTTCAAGTACTTTATCTTTGTAAAATCTTAAAATACATTTATTTTTAAATTTAAAATATAAGATTGTTTCTCTATTTACCCAAATAAAAATAGTTCATCTATTTAAAAATTTTGAGATTGTTTCTCTCACTAAAAAAATTAGGTTGTTTCTCTCTCTAAAATTTGATATAATTTATCTCTCTAAAAAAAGCTATTTTTTCTCTCTAAAACCTAAAATTTGAGACGGTTTCTTTCTCTAAAAAATTAGAGATAGTTTCCCTCTCTAAAGATTTTCAAGACTCCCTCTAAAACTTAAAGTTTGAAATAGTTTCTGTCTAAAAATTTTAAGATAGTTTCTCTATCTAAAAAACTGTGATATTTTTTCTCACTAAAAAATTTTAGGTACCTGCTCTCTCTAAAAATTGTAATTTGCAATTGTTTCTTTCTCTAAAATTTGATATAGTTTCTCTTTCTAAAATTTTAAAATACTTTATCTATCTAAAACTAAAAATTTGAGAAAGTTTATCCCTCTAAAAATTTTGAGATAGCTTATCTCTCTAAAATTTTCAAATAATTTCTCTCTCTATAACTTTAAATTTGAGATAGTTCTCTCTCTAAAAATTTTTAGATAGTTTTTTTCTCTAAAAGTTTTGAGGTAGTTTATCTCTCTAAGACTTAAAATTTGAGATAGTTTCTCTCTTTAAAATTTTTGAGATAGTTTTTCGCTCTAAATATTTTCAAGTACTTTCTTTCTCTAAAATTTAAACTTTTGGATAGTTTCTCTCTAAAAATTTTGAGATAGTTTCTTGCTATAAAACTAAAAAATTTGAGATAATTTCTCACTAAAATCCTAAAATTGAAGATAGTTTCTCTCTATAAAAATTTTGAGATAGTTTCTCTCTCTAAAAATATTTAGCTACTTTATTTCTCTAAAACTTAAAAAAATTGGCATATTCTCTCTAAGACTTAAAATTTGTATGGTTTCCCTCTCTAAAAAATTTGAGATAGTTATTTCTCTAAAAAGTTTTAGGTACTTTCTCTTTATAAAACTAGAAATTTGATATAGTTTTTCTATCTAAGAATTTTCAACTACTTTCTCTTTATAAAACTTAAAATTTGAGATAGTTTCTCTCTCTCTCTCTCTCTATTTTGAGTTAGTTTCTCTTACTAAAACTTAAAATTTTGATATTGCTTTCTCTCTAAAAATTTGAAATAGTTTCTCTCTCTAAATAATTTAGGTACTTTCTCTATGTAAAACTTGAAATTTGAGATAGTTTCTCTCTTTAAAACTTTTTTAAGTACTTCTCTCTCTCAAATTTGATACAATTTCTCTTTCTAAAGTTTTTAGATATTCTTTCTCTCTAAAAGTTAATTTGAAATAGTTCTTTTCTGTAAAAAAATTGAGATAATTTCTTTCACTAAATGCTTTTAGGAAGTTCCTCACTCTAAAATGAGATATAATTTTTTTTAAAAATTTTAAGATACACTCTCTCTCTAAAGCATAAAATGAGAGTTAGTTTATCTCTCAAAATTCGTGGGGGCGTTTTGGTGGAACTAATTGTATTTTTATAGTGGGTATCTCTGAAATAGGGAAATCTGGAAGTCAATTTTTTAGGGTAAAAGCAATGATACAGATTTCTCGAGTATTCATACGCACCCTAAAGATGAAGTGTTTGGTTAGCCGGCCCACTCATTGTAGATTCAAGTATTGAAACGGACCCTAAAGGTGACGTGTTTGGTTATCCGGGCCACTCATTGTAGATACGGGCCTCCATCAAAATCCATTGAATTTTGGATCCGAAATTTTTAGATTTATTAATCTTAAAGATAATGATCATTACGAATGTAAAATATTTTCTTTAAGCATATATTTTGTGATAGTAGAAGCACTTTTTTGCGATATCCATCTACGAAAGATAAATGGTACGGTAGTATACACTCCCAATAAGAAGAAGGAAAAAATTTATATAAGATTGCAACCTTAAAATGTAGAATTAAATATACACTTCAAAAATTCATCGAAAAATATTGTTTTAATGTTGAAAAACCCTCTAATTGATCATCTCAACATCAAGATGTATGAATATGAGAAAAAAAAAAAACAATATTTTAAATCCCATCAATAGCGCATCTTGCAACTCATTATCTCAACCGTCCATTTCAAGATTTCATATGTTTATAGATCTACTTGATTTTAAAAAAAATTTGAAGTTTAAAAGTTTAAAATTAGAGATAAAAATAGATTTTCAGATAATCCTAAGAATTTTTGACACCAAAATTACATGTTATGATAAAATTTAGAGATGCGCCTTAATTGGATTGTTTAAAGTTGCAGCTTTATAAAAACACACCCGCCAGTAAAATTTATAAGTGGTTTGATAGGGCTACAACCCTATCAAAAATAAATAAATCCTCATCTCAAAACTCATCGAAAAGGATACTTCAAACGTTGAAGAAAGCCTTTACATTTATCATCTCGGCGTGAACATTATGGTTGCGGAAAAAACTTAAGATTTTAAGCTCTAAAAATAGTTTTTATTATAACAAATTATCTAGACCATCTATTTTACCCTTAAAACAAGTGTTCATAGATCTACAAGATCTGTACTATTTTTAGCTTCAAATATTATTTGGACAAGCTTTCTATGCTTTCCTTACAACATAAAACTTATATACTTCCCCCTATCCAACCGTTTATTTTGAATGGAGGGCTAAGATTGTCCCAATTACAATATCATGTCTCTATACTATTTTATTTTAAATTTTTTTTTCTATAAACTATTTTGATACCAAATTTAGACATTCAATCCTCTATTAAACTCGTACTAGCGAAAAATATTAAAAATAATTTTTTGATAAAATATAATAACCAAAATAACCATTAAAACTTTCAAAAATATTTTAGTCATTTGATGTTAGAAATTTATTTTAAATCCGTCATGAAGATTTTCGTTACGGAAAGTGCTTTCTAGACAAAGATGGATTTGAGGTGAGGTTTAATTTTATTTTCATAAAACCAAGGCCTGGAAACTTCATCCATGAGATTAAATAATTCATTTGACTACATGTATAAAAAGAGGTGCCCAAGCCTGTTGGCTGTCTAGTCTCTTCCAGAACTGTTTTATCCTGAAGTTTCTGGATGAGAATTCCATCTAGAATTTTCGACACTCTACTCCCTCACTTCCCACCATTATAAATAGCCCTTCACCTCCCCCTCTCTCATCAAAAGAAATCAGTGAGAATAAGCAGTGGCGATCACAGCATCATCTTCATTACTCTTCGCTCACTTTGCAATTTCTTCATCCAAAACCAGTAAAAAAAATGTCTCTGATTCCAAGCATTTTTGGGCAAAGAGGCGATGTCTTTGACCCCTTCTCTCTTGACATTTGGGATCCCTTCCATGGCTTCCTCCCTTCGTCTTCCATGATCAGTCCCAATCATTCCACCTCTGCTCTCTTGAACACCAGGTTCGATTGGAAAGAGACCGATAATGCTCATGTTTTCAAGGCAGATCTCCCCGGTCTGAACAAAGAAGAGGTGACAGTGGAGTTAGAAGATGGGAGAGTGTTGCAGATAAGTGGAGAGAGAAAAAGGGAGAAGGAAGAGAAGAACGATAAGTGGCACAGGATAGAGAGAAGCCAGGGGAAGTTTGTGAGGAGGTTCAGGCACCCTGAAAATGCAAAGATTGATGGAGTGAAGGCGGCCATGGAGAATGGGGTTCTCACTGTGACTGTGCCCAAAGTTGAATCCCCAAATCCTGATGTCAAATCCATCCAGATTTCAGGCTAAATTTCTGTGTTCTTCCTAAATTTCAGAGATTGTGTGTGTTGTAATGGAAGATAGTGCGTAAATAATGAGTGATGTATCATGTATTGATCCCCTTGCTTCAATTGTTGAAAACTTGAAGTTTGAAGTGTAAAAACCTCAGATGGATTCCGTTCATTTCTTTTGCAAAAGTTCCTCTCTCCGCAGAACCCAAAGGACAACTCTTCTCTCTCTCTGTCCCCATCCACATAACCCAATCTTCTGCCACTCCCAAAATTTAAAATATGATTCTTGTCAATTTCGCTTCTGCAAAATATCCGCTCCGTATTTAAAACCAGATTGTGGCTTTCAGGTGTTGGACAAGCCATTGAATTTTCTCTTCTATGAATGCCATTTATTTAAAATTATATTCGACAGCGTATATATGAGAAGAAAATGGTTGGCTCTTTGTATAAACGTTTTTTCGTTATTATATGTTGAAAGAACCCAAATTAAGAGAAAATGGTCGGATTTTTAGAAAAGGAAAGCCTTGGATATGAAATCGGGACTTCCCATGTTCTTATTCTTCTAGCAAAAGTAAAAAAAATATTGCTCATAAAAATAAATGACACTAGTGCCGCCAAAATTTTAAGAGTGTTCTTGTAAATTTTTATCAAAGAAAATAATTGTTTTTTTTTTTTTAATCATATGCTCGTGTTATATGTATGCATGCTTTGAATTTCATTACAAAAAGATTTATACAATAAAGATTAAAATACCCGGAATTGTCTGATCAAGATCAGATACTCAATTGCGGGCTTGTGACGTTATGACTCGAGACATTTCAACCATGTCTGATGGCTGAGAGCAGTTGTCATATATAATGTACTATATGTAAGTTGGTGCAAATGTAAAGCTTTCCCTTACAAGGGAGGTTTGTAGAAGCCAATCTTTTAAAATTGGAGATGTATTCTTGGTATCAAAATTTTATGATAGCTCAAAATTTTATTTCTATCTTTACTTGTCAAATTTAAAGCATTCAATAATGGTTCAAATTAAGCAAATTTGAAAACACTTGAAAATCTTAAAAATAGATGGTTTACATAACTTATTTCAAAATGAACAATTTTTAGGATTTAAAATTCTTGTTTTTTTCATATCCATACATCTCGAGATCGAAATGATAAATTGGAGGATTCTCCAACATTGTAATACTCTCCTCTAGAGGTGCACTCTCTGAGATTGCAGCCTTATACAAACTAGGTTTAATATCAAATTATGTAAAGCAAGATAAAAAAAGAAGTAAATTGCTGATTTGGACTGCTCATTTGGATTTCCCATCCTATTTGGCAGTTATTAGAGAACTGATCATTAAAAATTAAAAAATTGAAATTGTTTTTAAAAAAGAGTTGGGCAAAAGTGGCTAGTATTATGATAAAACTTGCTAGTTACCCTATTTTGTCAAAAAACCGGCCAGAATTGGCTGCTTCATAGGGGTATCAGCCGGTTCCCAAAATCTAATGATTCCAATTTGGATCAACAATTTTTAAAACCTTGATGTAAATAAATAATGAACTTCAATTTTCTAGGATGGCATGGCCTAGATTTTGAAAAAAAAGTGAGGTTTGTATAGGTTGCCTCATTGTCCTATAAAAGTATAAAAGTAAAGTCCACCCATAAAATTTATTCGAGAGATGTTCTTTCAATGTGGAAAACCTTATGATTGCTTCAAAATCTCTTTTTATCGTGAGTTACAAAATTTAGAATTTCAAAATGATATAAATTGGCGCGATCAAAAAATACTTAAAATCTTGAAACTAAATAATCCAGATAACTCGTTACAAGATACATTATGTTTTTTACTTTTAAAATTTTCTTTCTTCGCATCTATTCATCCCAAAGTCAAGATGATCAGTTTGAGGGTTCTCCTATACCAAAAAACTCTACTGTAGGATTTTTTAGGTGCACCTGACTTCAACGATATAAGATTGCAACTTTATATAAACTTTTTCCATATAAAAAATAAGACTATTTATCATCATTTCAAGGAGGTGCGAGGTGCATGGGCATGAGCATAAAAGATTGTGATATCTAAAGGCCAAGAATGATATCTAAGAAAGATCACAATCATTCTTAACTGTTAAAAATACCACGACATGATCATGAACACAAGAGAGAGCATTAAATCCCTCCATATAATTGACATGGAGCCACAATAGTAGAGAAAAATAACGGGAAATTATAAAAAAATATCCACTTTTTTTGGGTTATTAAAACCAAACCCCAAATCTTTCAAAATCTCACTCATACCCTTTTTCTTTCACTCTTTGAAATCTTGTAACCAAAATACCCTTCATAGTTCTAAGCGACAGGTGATTCTCAAGTGAAGATGGATAACCGAGAAAACATCACGATACCAACACAACTGTAATGCCTCTTTGGAAATCTTCACACCCAAGTGAATCGTTTAAGGCACCGCGGTCCTAGCTCAACTGTGATGCCTCTTATGTGGGAAAATATTTCATATCATCAAGACCTTAACAGTTCTACGAGAACCGTGGTTCACAGAGAGAGCACCTCAATACTAGCACAACCATAACACATGTTGAGCTCCATAGTTCTAACTCAACCGTGATTCTCAAATGCAAGCATCACCTATTACGGTCCAATTAGTACTGTGATGGTTTCAATTCATTCCGTACATATCACAGACCCAACACTACCACGAAGGGCAATTTGGTTATAAAATTGTAAACAATGAGAAAAAAAGTTATGAACGATTTGAGAAGATTTTGGGTTTTTTTTCCGATATTTTTTATAATTTTCCAAAAATAAATCACCTCCAAAACCAAGCATCCCAAGCGCCATATTACCTCAGGACCGCATCAAGTTTTGTTAAGACTATCCTCAATTCATTATAAGAAAAAACACTTGAGCTACAAACTGAATATAACGTCCAAAACATCGCCATGCCACCAAAACCAGGTTTGGCGGAAATAAAGTAAATAAAAAATTGGCCTTTCCCATTGCAAAATTGGCCCTACAAAGTGTCTACAAAACGTTTGAAAGGCGATCATGTAACAATAAGGAATTCTAATAAAACCTCTTCTAATAAAACCTCACTCTTCATCAGCCATTGTGCCTCTCTCACTCACGTAAATCCCGTCCAAGAACTTCCTTATGTCCTTGTTCTTCACATGGCATTTCTGTCAAATCACAAACACCGACAATTCGAATTTCGCAATTCTGTAATTTATGTGAGAGACAGAGAGAGAGAGAGAGAGAGAGAAGCTAAGGCTCACTAAAAATACGTGGCATTTCTGTCAAATGACAAACACCGACAATTCGAATTTGGCAATTCTGCAATTTATGTGAGAGACAGAGAGAGAGAAAGGCAGAGAGAGAAGCTAAGGCTCACTAAAAATAATTAGAAACCATGTAATCTATAGACATATCGATTAAACAATATACCTGACTGCACTACAGATGGTAAAATTTCTAGATTAAAAACTCCATGCACCTATCATATTTCGAAATCACAACCAAAACACTAAGAACTACTTTTTCCTCCATACAGAATCACCATATCCAATTAAAACATAGGGTGTTTCAAAACATAAGGTCTTCTTGTTTCCCCTGGAAAGAATCTTGAGAGCTAGACATTTCTAAGACAAGTTTAGGAGAATGATTCATCCAAAAAGATCCCGTGGAAAGAGTGGGAACCATTGTTTAGAGCTTGAGGGCATATGAATCAGCTGGCTTCAGATATATACAGAGGGCCAGAGAAAGGATCAGCAAATAAATAGCAGTCCATCAAGCAAAGAGTGCTCAATATTTATTGGGATATAAAAGACCATGTTAGGCATCCATGAAATATATAAGAACAGTGTTAACCTTTCAACAGAGTGAAGGTCCAGAGAGGATTGAAGTATGTGCCTTTGGAGTAAGATCCAAGAATCATGTGATGTCCCAACTCAACTCAGATATCCTTTCTACGTACAAATAATCATTCATAAAAAGAGCAGGAGCTTGTTGACGACAAATTCTAAATATTCTGATGCACCAGTGTAGACTCCCACTTTGAAATTGGTTAATATTCTTACTTCCTAAAAAACTCCTAAAACCTGTAAATCCAAACCATAGGAGAGTCACAATCCCTAGGAAAACCACCATACCAACGAAATCTAGGTAAAACCAACCTAAATCTAGATGAAGACATTCTGATTGATTCAGACTTATCCTAGATAGCAAACAGAGCTTTAGAAAGCTAGGAAAGGCCAGATAGGAACCCTCTAAACGCCTCAAAATTGGCTTTAGACCACACTGGATCAGTAGGAGGTCCGACACATACCGACAAATTAGGCCAGATCTGAGCCAGCGATGCGATATGCATTAATGGGTCCGGATTTTCCAGGAGACTTTGATTAGTCCAGATGAGTCCCTTTCAATATTGGACCAACCTTCGGTTCTGCCTCTAGAAGACAGTTTTTGGAGACTTTCTAGAATTATATTCCCAACAGAAGTTTGATCTCCTTAACCAGTTATAGATCTACAAGTTCTAATGCCAATTGGACTGGTGCCCAACAAAAGGCCTATATAAACCGGCCTCTAGCTTCCCATAATTCATAAATAAAAATCCTAGAGAAATTATTTAGAAATTATAGAGAACCTTAGGCTAGAAAAACCCTAACGCCTAGAAACCCCTAGAGTTCAGGTAACCCTAACTATAGGTCATACAAACCCTAGGGACTAGAAACACTAATTCTCTACAACCATCAAAATCTAATTTGCAAAACCCTAATTTCAAAATCAAAAGCCTTACGATGAGCATGCCCTAAGCAAATCAAACCCTAGGAAGAACATGCCTACTTCTCATTCAAGCAAAGCTCTAGGTTTTAAAGATGAAGATACTTCAACTATTCATCTAAGTCAATCTTTTCTTTCTTTAATTTTCAGTTTATTTCCTTTTCTTTTATTTCTTCTCCTGTTTCCTTTTTATTTTATGGATTTTGCCGTGATTTTAGGCCGACCTTGCCGACAATTTATGAGGGGAGATCTATTCCTAAAGTTCAATCTTCTCATATATTGTAATTCAACAGACCCTCCTATTCTCTATAGGATTTTAATTATTTAGTTTGAAGCATAATTCAGAGAGGATTCCATCTGAAGATTCTTCATCCAGAGATTCTCCCAAATTTGGGAGTAAACAACTAGACACTATCCAAAAGAAGATCTCAAACTAAGAATGTGAAAGTTAATGGCGGAGAACAATCCAACATAATTATTCAAGCTCACTACATTTCAGGGAAAAAATATATATATGCTCACTGCAGCAGATAGGTAAATAATTTATTTGAAAAAAAGGAAGAAATTGGTCAAACTTCTCTTATTTGCAGAGAAACTACTTAGTACTTTTTAGGAAGACATGAGCTTACCTGGTTTATCAAAGCAGCTGATCGAGAAACAAGCTCAATGTCACTCCCATCCAATATCAATTCATCCTTCACCTTCTCAGAACGAAGGACAGTTACACCTTCCAACATGTCCACCTTCCTCACCTGAAGCATGAAACAAATTCACCATGGTGCACATGAAAATACATAGAACTCCAGGTTTCCCCATCAGAGCGAACAAAACAAACCAACAATAAGAAACCAGGCAAACAAAATCATAAGAGAGCAAAGGTTCGAATTAAGTAGATTGGCAATAAAACAAAAATGGTAATTGCATAATGGACTGACTGGAGAAGGACAGTTTTGATAGCATAAAGCAATAATTGAACATGATATGCTTTTTTTATTGAAGGAGCAACAGGCAGTTAACTGCATAATTTCTGGCAACTATTGGCCAACCAAAGCATTTTAAGCACAATGGTGGTATTCAAGATGCTCTAACAAACTATTGCTTTCCTATCATTCACAAGGTTAATGTGTCTTGAGCCACTGAACATACTATCATGAGCAACCTCTACTAGGATAAGAAGACACCCATTTACATGAACATTAGAAACTTATCTAAGTCAGTAATTGGATAAATCTTGTCTAGAATTTTTTTTTGAGGAACAAGAAAGACAGTAGGAATATTACATTCATTGAATCACAACCTGGGTAAGTTGTTCGAAATGTACAAAGCCTTGCTAGAGAAGCCCATTTTGAGTAAACGCAATATACTCAACCATTCAGCTGTAACTAAACCCAGTCACTTTGAGGAATAGGAGGGTAATTCAAGCTTTAAATGCCATTATGCTCATTAATTTCAAAATAGAAAAATCTGAGAAAAGATCCCATGGGCATATCAATTAGTAACCCCAAACTGAAAAAATCAAGCTTGAAGAATTCCATATTCATTGAGACTCACACTTTAAAAAGCATGTTTAATTCCATCGGGACAAACAATTCCGTAGAACGGAAGAACTTAATTCTTGCCTCATTTGAATAAGGATCTTTACTCGACCCATCCATCAAACTAAACGAGTGGAAATATAATGAAATTTACCGAAATATAATGAAATTTACCACGAAAGAGATTATTTCTAGAGAAGGATGTTAGTAAAATTGATGGAGCAAAGATGAGCACCAAACCAGAGATTAGAGAGGGGTGTGCCGTGAGGTTGGTGATCGTAGTGCCTAGATTTAATTAGGAACCAATAGAGAGAAGAGTACTTTCTGTTTACAGGAGGCTATGTAATTTTCTGTTGTATTTTCTCCTCTCTCTGACTTCCCATATTTATAGGAAGAAGAAAGGCCAACGTTCCTATTTCTCCATCGGGTTTCTAAAAAATTGATTCCCTGATCTCAAGGATGCTTATCCATGTGAACGTTGAAAATATCCTTGATAAAATAAACCATTTATTTATATTACATTTAACAAAACTTATTTACAAATGGATAAATATACATGGGATATGTCCCATAAAAATAGGTAAGGCAACATAAAGCCTCACGGCCACATGTGCCAGCATCTCCCACTTGGCCATGACGACCGAGCACAATAATAAGTCACAGGCACATTCCCACTTTTGAGTATGACGGCCTTTATGACAATATTTTGTCATGAGTTTTTTCTCACGCTTTCGAGGATATACCACTCATAACAAATGTCCATAATTTCCATCAAGAAGATTTTCACGTTAATGCAGATTTGTCACTCATGGAAACCAACTGAATTAAACATTTTTAAGAGCCATTAAGCTAGTGTGCTTAGACAATAGTTCAACGCTTAGACCCTTTGTTAGTGGGTCAACGATCATATCTGATGAAGGCAAGTAACTAACAGTTACTTCATTTTTTAACCACATCCTGAATGTAGTGATATTGTACATCTATGTGTCTCCCTTTAGAACTATTTGCTCAACTTTGTATTAATTTAATTGCAGTTTGATTATCACAAAATATTTGAATCGGTCTGTTGATTATTTGCAGCTTCAAGTCATCCATGATGCGCTTTATTCAGACGACGAAAGTATATGCAATGCTACATGCAATGTACTTCTTGTGTGTACCTAGAGACACACCCTTGTTTCTTGTTAGACCAAGAAACAACTGCACCTCCAACAAAATCTGCATCTAAATATCCTAAAACTTCAAGCTTATCTGCTTGAAAACACAATTTAGATGCTTTGTTTCTTTAATGTACCTTAGAATTCTTTTGATCGCTTTCCAATGAGCAATGCCCAAATTACTTCAATATCTAATTACAACACCTACAACATAGCTCAAATCCGATCTTGTACATCGAACTGCATACACTAAGCTACCAATAGCTTGTGCATAGGGAACATTAGTTTTTTCTTGACCTTCTATTGCACAATCCTTCCTAGACAACTTCACTCCCTCGTCAACAGGAGTAGACAATGGTTTACAATTTTTCATTTAAAATCTTTAAGAACAAAGTCAAGATATTTCTTTTGGCTCAAACATAACATTCTTGATTTTCTATCACTCCCATTTCAAGAGTAGATAATGGCTTAAAATTTTCAATTTTAAATCTTTTAAGAACATAGTCAAGATATCTCTCTTGGCTCAAGCATAAGATTCTAGATTTTCTATCTCTAGTTAGTTTTATGCCTAGGACATAAGATGCTTCTCCCATATCTTTCATCTCAAACCAAGAAGAAAGCCATGACTTAGTCTTACCAATCATTTCTAAGTCATTTCCAGCTACAGGATATCATCGACATATAATGAGAGTATTGTGAATTTACTCCCACATTTCAAGACATACAACACAATGGTCCAATCTATTTACTTCATATCCCATCTGTAGGATGGCATCATGAAATGTTAAGTATCATTGCCTTGAAGATTGTTTGACTTGATTTTTTTCATTCTTAATTATGAAGCCCTCAGGTTGCTTCATATCAATGGTTTCTTTTAGTTCACCATTCAAGAATATTGTCTTTACATCCATTTGGTAAAGTCATAGGTCATAATATGCAATGATTGCCAAAATTATTCTAATTGATATAAATGTTGCAACAAGGGAATAAGTGTCAACATAGTCGACGCCCTTTCTTTAACTAAAACCCTTTGCTACTAACCTAACTTTAAAAAAAAATTATCAATTGATCCATCAGATTTTAGCTTCCTTTTAAGTACCCATTTGGAACTTATAGGTTTCCTATCTGATTAAAAATCACTTAGATCCCAAATGTTATTTTTCTCAATATAATCTAATTATTCTCTCATGGCATTAAGCCATTCTTAAGATTCTTGTGACTTCATTGCATCATTGAAGTTAAAGGGATCATTGATTTCATCTAGGTCAATAAGGTTGTCTATCTCCTCACTCATGTAGGTATAGAAATCATCAAGGTATGATGGAGGAGCTCTAGGCCTCTTTTGACCATTTAACATAGGGTGTGTGGGTACTGTAGATGATAGTTCTAAGTCACATATGATATTTAATGGATTATCATTATCCACCATAGGTAGGTATTCTTCATTAAAATATTCTAGGAACTCATCGTCTCTGCTTTCAACGAGTCCCTTATCTTTATGATAAAATCTATGGCCCTTTGAAACTTCAAGGTATTCTATAAAATTACAAACTAGAGTTTTGTTTTTTTAACTTATTTTGTTACCGATATGGAATTAGAACATGTGTCGTTGACCCCCACTTCTTTAAGCTGCTTAGATCAGGTCTTTTACCTCTCCATAATTCATAAAGGGTAGAATCTATTGCCTAGTTGGAACTTGGAACCCTATTAAGAATATACATGGATGTGCATATTGCTTCTCCCCAAAAGGTTTTGGCTAGACTAGCATGTGTCATCATGAATCTAGTCATTACTATGAGGGTCTTATTACACCTTTCAGCTATTTCATTTTCTTGTGGCGTATAAGGCATAGTGGTATGTCTTTTGATACCATTTTCTTCCCAATAAGTATTGAAAGCATCAGATGTGTATTCACCTCCCCTATCAGTTCTAAGAACTTTGATGTTTCTACCTAGTTAGTTTTCTACTTCCCTTTTATATACTTTAAATATTTCCGAGGCTTCTGATTTATGGTGGATTTGATAAACATATCCAAACCTAGAAAACTCATCAATAAAAGTGATGAAGTATGACATCCCCCTATGAGTTTTAACATTGAGAGGCCCACAGGTTGAAATTCCTATGTGGCCAAGCCTCAGATGCCAAGCATATGCATCAACAACCATTGCACAATCAACATAACCATAATAAGTAGAAATTTTATTATCATCTTTCTCATTTACCTGAAGAAGGAACAAATTATGGTCATCAACCAAGTGTCTCTAAGCATAAATTTGTCCACGCTTTCCAATTGATACTTTCAATGATCGGTTTGTCTTTCAATCGTCTCCACCCTCTTGCTCGTCTCTCTCTGCGCTCATTCCTTTGCCATGCGTTAAGGCTCGGAGCCGCAGCACCTGCGGCCCCGTCTCTTTCTCTGCACCAATTGATATGCCTGGGCGGTCGCCCTCTTAGAACAGTTGGGACATGAACTCTCCTCAAACTTCAACACGTCATCTCATTCTTTTATTTCAAAACTTGCAATATGAGTTTACTCGAGTGGGGGTTGACTGGCAAATATAGGACGTAGAAAGATAGGTGGCGGAAGCTCTTGATCACTCGTGCGTTATGAGACTCAGTGACCCAAGCAGTCAAAAGACTTAAAACCCTACAAGATGCTAACTCAATATGACCCCACCAAAGTGAGCGAGGGTAAGAGCACCTATGTCTCTCGCAACTCTACTCGACTGTACGGAGTGGAAGTTAGAGCAACAATACGAGAGTTAGAACTCTTAAGACGGTTCTTCACAACATTAAGTCAAACGCTCGATTGACAGGAGAGGTTCCGACATGCAAGTGGAAGTAACTGTATCCGCAAGAAGACGAGAATACGAGTGTAAGCTCGAGAGGGGAAAGAGGATGGAGACGACTGGAAGACAGAGCCACGAGATGCTTCTTGCGCACAGCAAAGGAGAGAAGAGCGCAAAGAGAGACAGGGCCGCAGGTGCTGCGGCTCCAAGACTTAACGCGCGGCAAAGGGAAGAAGAACGCTGAGAGAGAGACGTGGCCGCAGGTGTTGCGACTCCGAGGCTTATCACGCGACAAAGGAAAGAAAAGCGCAGAGAGAGATGGGGCCGCAGGTGCTGCGACTCTGAGACTTAACACACGACACAGGAGAGAAGGGTGCAGAGAGAGATGGGGTCGCAGGCTGCAGCTTCAAGCCTTAACTCGCGGCAAATGAGAGAAGGGCACAAAGAGAGAGGGCGCCACAGGTTTTCTACGGCTCCAAGTTACTACACGGGAAAGATGATGTAGAGAGAGAAAGAAAGAGGAAAGAGAAGCAGGAAAGGAGAGAGAGTGGGCTTGGGGAGTGACCTAGTCTAAGTGCACCACCTTAGCCTCTCTACTTGCACACGAGAAAGAGAGTAGTTAGAAACGAGTTGAGGTTAGTGTGTATGGACTAGGGCGGTCTAAGGTCTAGGCTTAGGTGCAGGGACGATAGTGTAGGCTAGGGTGTATGGGCTAGGGGTAATTTCTCCCTCTAAAAGGTTTTTCTCTCCTCACCATTGGATCCAAGAGTTAGAAGCAAAGTCAAGTGAACACAAGCTAATGCCTCAATTGCAATCACGAATGATCCAGCCTTTTTTCAATGGACCTAAGCTTGTTTATATAGAGCAACCCCCAAACATGGGTGGAATGCTCAAAACTAAGCAAATTGTTAAAACTTACATATTAAATGAATTAAAATAAAATCATGTTTTTGGGCGTAATGACCAAATACCCCTTTAATCTTTTGAGCAAACAGAAAAACCATCCCTCTTTGAGGGGCCTCTTGCCTTTGCTAGACTTCGAGAGCTTTTTCGAACCCTTGCGGCTGTGACTCGGGCGATCAATTGCTGTAGAACCGATGCTTGATCCATTACGAACATTTTGATGCCTTTTGATCATATTGAAACGGATTCTTCCTGGAGGGGTAAAATCCAGCCAAGTCCATAAACTTCGACCACCAATGCAGTGCGATCCATGATGTTCCAAGTCCTCATTTTGATGACAAGTGAAAGAGGACATTGTTATCATCATTCAACACCAAATTTCGTCCGATTTGACCTTCATTTGAGCATATCCCCAATTTGGAAAGTCGCCAGAAAATGAGATTCCGGCGACCGAGAAAATCTTGCCATTTTCAACCTTGAAATTCACGCTATTCGGCCTTCAATTGAGCACAAGCATTATACTGAAGTATGCCTTCACGATGAGATTGCAACAGACCCATATTTGTGAAGATCCTACACCCAGATCTCAAGTTATGATTTTACGAAGTACGAGATATCTTCTTTCAAAATTCTGATTTTCACGTCTTTGGGTTCATCTTCTCTTTAGAAATTCTCTCGTCTCGGGCCTCAGCATGACGTGTGCCATATATCAAAACGACCGGGTCTTCGAGACCTAGCTCGTGTCCAAATTTGAGCGTGTTTCGACTCAAAACGAACGCGTTATATTTCAAAGTTATCCCGAGAGGTGAAATTTCATGGAAATTGATTCACCAAGGCCGCATCACAATAGTGTAAAACCCACTATTTTATGGTACTTTGGGCCCAGAATGGTCCTGAAAGATCTGATTGAGCCCAAATTTGGTCCTTAGGGGTTTTTCGACGTTTCGAATCTAATGGCGACGGTCTGGTATTATTTTAAGCCCCAAAAATAGATTTGTAGTTATAAAGTCCCTTTTTAACATGATAGGAGGTGGATTTGAAAATCGAGTTTCATGTAACGAAACTTTGTGAGCATCCTTCGGGCATCCCAAATTACCCTTTTCATGCCTTTTGAAGCCGTTCCAGTGCTCTTTTCAAGGTTGCCCTTTTTTAGGCTTATTTTGTAGTGTTCCCATGGTCTGGCGGTGTCTTGGGTACGAGCAAGACCAGGTTGTTACAGGCTCTCTCCTTATGTGACTCAAGAATACAAGTATGTCAAAAATGATGTATAACAAGCACATGCGATGCTTGAGAAACATGAAGACTATGTTGCACAGACAAACATCTTGTGTCACTATCAAAGATGGGTGCAAATTCCTCAGTCCACCAAGAATAGGATTTGGAGGCACAACTATATTTTTAGGAGACTACAAAAACCCACATTGTTAACTAATATTGTTTTTCCATGATGAGTAGCCAAAAAGAAAAACCAATTATGGGTTAGAAGGCTAAATCCGTACATTCTTTCAAAGTTTGTATTTTATCCTCAAAGCAAAAAAGATTGAATCTCCAAAATGACGTGGTTAATGGTTAACAAAATGATGTGGCTAATGGTCAAAGCAAAAAAGATTGAATCCATAAGAATCTTTGTTGGTATGTATGTCAACATGGCATAAGGCACCCAAACAGAAGAATCCATGTAAGACAACTTCGAGAAAACGGAGATCCATGGTGAAAAGTGATGTGACAGGAAACACAAGGACAACAATCAATAAGCATTTTTGGAAAATTTGCTTAATTGATTGCAAAAGTTTCTAGAAAATATTTCTGGGAGAACAAATTTCCTATGCAAAATTTTTTTAAGAAATTTGTTTTATTTTTTATTTTTTATTTTTTTAATCATAAAAAAAAATTTCCTACACAAAACCAATATAGAGATTAAAAAATCAATTAACTTTCGTTTAAGCTTTCGTTGTGGAAACAACATGTCCTGTGGGTGAACTTTTGTCACTTAATGAATCAATACTAACTACAAGGACTCGCATAACATTACAGTTCCTACAGGAAGAACTCTAAAATCCACATTCTCAAGTTCCTCATGAGTTGGCCATTTAACAGCCAGAAATACATCAAAGATTAAACCATTTTGTTATCTATCAGTTAGAAAATACAACATTACATTCATATGTTTCCCCATCAATCAACAATCAACAGACAGAATAACAAACAACTCAAAATAAATAAATATGCATACAATCATATTTACTGAGAAAACGTTGTAAATTGCATGCAGAAACCACAACATACATACATGGACATTATCATTGTATAAACGTGAGCTAGTAAAAGAAACATCACCCAAAAAAAAAATACAATTGGTAAAAAGAAATATCAATTGGTAAAGATGGCAATGGTAACAAAGGCAAAGAAAACAAAAAAAGAAATAATAGAAATATCAATTGGTAAAGATGGCAATGGTAACAAATGCACAGAAAACAAAAAAAAGAAATAATCAGAAGAATTATGCAGCGCAGAGAAACAAATAGGAACAATAATCCATAACTTCTCTCAAGAAAATCTAAATATCACAAGTGACACCTACTCTCAAGGAAATCTAAATATCACAAGAGACTAACACAAAGAAATGATCACCAACAACTTACCTTCTTCTCGCCCAAAAAGTTCCTGATCTCGATGCTCTTGTTCGAGTTGGCGATACTAGCATTGATGGGAAAGTGAGCATACACAAATCTCATCTTATACCGATACCCCTTAGTTACACCAGTAATAAGGTTCTGGACATGACTAATGGCCGTTCTAATGGCCGCCATCGTTTTCCTAGAACCGAACCAGGCGTCCACCTTGAGCTTTCGACCACCCTCAGTGAGTTGAAAGTCCAGGTTCAAATGCTTGAAATTCCGCGTTAAAACTCCTCGAGGTCCTTCCACCTTGATGAGTTTTGCTCTGATATGGACCTTGACACCCTCTGGTACATCCATGGTTTGAGAGGCTAAGATGGTCTTCATCTTCAACCGATGCAAGGAAAGCCTAGAAACCCTGAGTCACTGAAAATCTCTAGGGTTTCAGGGAAGGAGAAGTTAGCCTGAGAGAGGCAATGTTAATGCGTGATTACCAACAATTTGTGTATAGAGATTCCACGCTCCCGCAGGAGCGTAATGTCTATTTAATTCCCCGAAAACATTACTGGGGCTAAAAGATTTTTACTCTCGCGGTTGTGTACTATACATTTACTCCTTCGGACAAAATTTATGCTAGGAACTTTTTCGTATCCCAAGTATTAGAGATGTGATCTCTAGAACCCCGTGACTAACATAAAATAAAAAATTCTCACTCTCTACCGCCCTAAAAAAAAAATGACATCTTAAGATTGACATTGCCAATTAATTTTTTTGAGGGAAGGATCTTAATGTTTAATAATATAAAATCCAATTTTCTTTAAAAATAATCAACTAGTGATAATTAAATGGATACTTTGTATACAACAAAACTCCCAAATAGCTACATCGCTCGAGAGAATATTTCTACAGAACGCTCCCTCGAGAGCATGCTAGACTTGCTTATTTTTGGGAATTTTTTTTTTAATATCTCTTAAGCCCAACGACTAACTACCAAAAAAAAAAAATGACAAAAAAAGAAAAAAAAAAAGTTCCAATTGAGTCTTAGGAATGCGATCTGAGTGTTAAATAAGCTGCATTTATTTTTTTTCCAAAATAATGTGTTTACTATAATCCCAACAAAGCATGATATATTTACTCCATTGGGCAAATGGCTACTTGGGAAGGTTTTTTAATCTAAAATGTTGGAAACCACTTAAAAATCACTAGATAATTATATTCAAAAAAAAAAAATGAATTTTGAGTTTTCTAATATCATCTTTAAAAATTACGCGGTTTCTATTGAAACTTGTTTATGCGCCTACTATGACGAGATCTAAGATGAAATATCCTCATGTGAAAAAAATGGTTAAATTTTATATTGATATGAGATTGTGGGGAACGTCATTACAGGTCTAAAATAGGTTCAGATCTAGACAAATATGTCCTCTTTTAGGACTCCTGACAGTGCCAGCTGCGTTTTTCAGGCTAAATAATTTTTAAAAGATAGTCCTACAAACTAAGCTAAGGGAAATGGAATTAAAGTATGAAATAATAATTAATGAAGAAAAAGAGCAGATACTTGAACACTCTGAATCCAGAGTTGCGGGCTCGGATCATGTCATTATTATTCCTGCGCACCCTTTCCCTTTTGGATGTTTTGTTGGAAACTAAATTTTATAAGCTTTTGAGCTATGGAAATTAAAGGAAATGTATTAGGGTTTGTTAATTCCTATGGAATGGGTCCAAGGGAAATATGGGAATCAGGATTTCTAAATCTAGGGATTTCTTAATGTTTTTTAAGATTTTTTTTAATTTGCTAATCTCTATGTGAATCTTATGGAATGATTTTCTCTACTTTTCTAGGGATTTTAGGATTTTTTGGAAATTTATAGAGATTTTTAGATGAATTTTCTAAGGAACATCATAGGGGTTTTTATATAGGCTCTAGATCTAAGAATTTTTTTGGGAATATTTCCTCCAAGAGCTTGGTCAAAGTAAGTTCTGCACCAGTAAAACTGACCTTCACTACCCTGTTCAAGAAAACTCTAGAATTTTATGAATGGTGCGGAAATATAGCGATGTGTGTCACGTCGATAGGCCCGTTGGGTTCAGCTTGGCCCGAACACCCCCCAACTTATGCTAGTGAACCAATCCAATTTGGACACATGACGAGATTAGACATTGGGATTTTTCTGATGCTGTTTGGTATTTTTTACCGGTTTTGGGTGTTTTTCTGGTTTCCCAAGGATTGGACAACTGACATAGGTTACCTATGGCGCACTAGGCTAGTATGGTCCTCAACGCTTAGAAATATAAGTTTATCCGAATTCTTTAGCCCATATTTCATTGGGGGCGGGGCGGTGCCGGGGGATGCAATTTAAATATTTTTATTGAGTATGGCGCATGAGTTGAAGATCATAAACCTCAAAATTTGTTCTCCTAAAAATACTCATGCATTGAATTTTTCCTTGGGCGAGGCGGGGATGCAATTAAAATTTTTTTATTGAGTATGGCACATGAGTTGAAGATCTTAAATCCTCAATATTTGTCCTCCTAAAAATACTCACGGATTGAATTTTCCTCAGGAAGTGCATAGACAGTATGCTCCCTTGGGGCCTGAACTCTTTTAGCCTTTTAAAAATAATCATAGTGATTGTTTGATGGATCCCAATATTCTCATAAAAATAATCGTCTCAAGCAACTTCTTTCTCCAAAGATGTTTATAAGCATGCGGGTAGTATGTTCAAACCCTAAAATATTTTTAGGATTCGAAGATCGGCTCTTCAACCTTGCAACGAACCAAATTAAATAAAACAGAAAACCAAAAGGGGTTCACGTTATTTATCGTGTCAACCATAAATAATCAAAGTAAGGTGCATCTCAAAACTCTAGAGAAAAACACAATTCAATATTGGACATTTTTGTGATGGCCAATCTATTTTTTCCAACAATTATGAAATTTAAAGGTTAAAAAATCGCAAAGATCTAAAACACTTTTAAAAATGAAAAGTTTATATAGAGCCGAGGCTCTAAACAATCAACTTAGAGCCCACATCAAAAATTTCACTAAAAGAGGTTGTTTTGATGCCCAAATATCATCCAATTGATAATCTCGACATCAAGATGCATGGATATGACAAAAAAATAGGTTTCAAGTTTTAGAAATAGTGCATCTTATAACACATTTTTGGACAATCAATTTTCAATATTTTCAATTTTTCATAGATTTACTTGATCTATACTAGTTTTTAAATTTTATAATTAAAGATACAAATATATTTTAAGGCTATCACAAAGAATTCCAGTATTAAAACCACATTTCTCAACACTATTTGAAGGTGCACTTTACTTTAATTGTTTAGAGCCTTGGCTCTATACAAATCGCACCCTTCAATATTTGAATAGCCGGATCTAAATGTTTTAAAAGTCAAATTTTAACAAACTTTTTCTTACTTAACAAATTTAGGGTCTAGTGATTCTAACGTGGATTTTAAAATTTTAAAATAGATAAAAATATCCTGAAAGAAGGTTTTTGCCTGTTGTGAGTGTATATTGTGCTCCCACATAATACCACGCTATAGGTCCTCATTAAGGTACTTCTAAAAATAACGCCTGGTCAACATTTTCTGTTTGTTGGGACATACTTGAAGAGTCAAATCCTTGATCTCCCTCACCCAAACTGACATGTCTACCATTGAGGCAAAGTTTAAGTATTAGGGTGTACTTATGAGCACATTATACATTTGCTCCCTCGGGCATTAATGCATTGCTATTTAGTTTTTTCTTTTTTTTTTAATTGAAATTTTGTGATCCACTTTAGAGTTACTAAATCACTACATTAGTACTTTAGATAAAGCAAACTTGGATTTTGAATTCCGAAACTAAATATAACACTGAAATAATTAAAGGGGTCCTGTTTGATCTTTAGACATTTTTGTCACTTGGTCTGGGAGGACACTACCGAAAATTTTCGTTCATAAAATATGCTCATAGATATGGTTTTACTCAATGGGAGTAAATAATATTTTATTAGCTTTTATCATTAAGTGTCAGTTTGGATGTACCCAAAATTGTAACATTTTTAAATGACAAGAAAAAAAGATTAAGATAGAAAATAAGAACCATTTGGATAACCTCACAAAAATTTATAGTTCATCCAAAAAAATATCACTTTACCCTTAAAACCACAAGCCAAAAATATTCAAGTCGGACTCAAATATTTTGGCTTTAGTCGCATTTCTCTTAAAACTTTACCCGCTCTCACTCTCTAACCGTCGCACTCTTCCCTCTCCTCCCTGCTTTTCCCTCGTATCCTTCCTGCTTTACCCTCTTCTCCTCCCTACTTTGTCTCTCTCTAACCTATTTCTATTCAAGCTTATTAGAATTTTTCTCTCTAGAAAGAGTGGCTCAGGGCCTCCCATCATCTCTCAAAGACAACCAAACTCCGCCTTTCTTCCTCAAAAATCTCAGAAGACTCCATATGGGACTTATTTTACAAAATAATGCATGCGCCAATGGTTTATATCTTCTTTGAACAGCAAGCTATGCCCGCAGCCCTAGCTTTCACCTCTTCCTCTCTCTAAGAAAAGACAACATGTGAGTATTCCCTTTCGATCTCCCAAAAAAACTCAGCAAATAGAGGCCAAGCCCGTAGCCCTTGCTTTCGCCTCTTCAGTCGCTTCTCACCGTCTACCTCTTATGCTCTCTACAAAACCAGCAACAAGATGCAGGATTTCACATATTCAAAGAGGTGGTTTGTACATAACATAGCATTATAGTGAAACATGTTGGGTTTATGTAGCCTTTAAAGGCTTTATGAGTGTTGGTAAAATGAAATGGAACATGAACTCAGTGGGAGTGTGGTCCCTCGTGGACCATACTAAGCAAACAATGTTTGTAGATACCGGACTATACTTGACGATCTAGGCTAGTCGGTTGGGAAAAACTCATGTTACCTGGACATAAAGAAAAAATCGAGAAGGATTCTAATGGGTTAGCCCTCGATGAGGTCGGGGAATATGCCCGAATGAGTGAGCTGAGGGACTGTGTGACCCTTATGTGTGATGGTGGCTTAAAGAGACAAGGCCCAAAACCTCATCCATGTACCATTACACGGCATGCATATCGATAGATTGTTCGGAAAAGCCAGAAATCCAGCTTTTAGGGTGAAGCGTATGCATGTGCGAGAGATACCCTTATGCGCCATAGAGCTGTTGTCGCATAAACTCTTGGTGACCTTGACTTTTCTCTAGGGGAGGACTTGAAATCCACAAACTGGGATTGCGATCTCTTAGCTCATCGGCCGGACTTTGGTGACCCGCTAATGAGCCCCTGTTTGGACTGTGGGTCATGAAAAACACTGGGTCGGTCTAATAAAACAAGTGTGGTCTATAGTCCATAATTGAAGGTGAAGTGCCACATGATTGTTGATTCCTAAACCATATGGATCATTTTCCCATCAAATTAATTTAATTGTGTTTGTTTTATGATAGATTTAATATTATTATTTGAATTTTTATGAACCCTTGGATAT